CAAACGCACTACAGCCCTCTCACCGACCCCCCAAACACCCTCTGCCCACCCCTGCAGAACCCAAACCCACTACAGCCCCCTCACTGACCCCCCAAACACCCCTGCCCACCCCTGCAGATCCCCAAACCCACTACAGCCCCCTCACTGACCCCCCAAATGCCCCCTGCAGATCCCCCACCCACTACAGCCCCCTCACTGACCCCCCAAACACCCCTGCCCACCCCTGCAGATCCCCAAACCCACTACAGCCCCCTCACTGACCCCCCAAATGCCCCCTGCAGATCCCCCACCCACTACAGCCCCCTCACTGACCCCCAAACACCCTCTGCCTGCCCTGCAGATGCCCCACCCACTACAGCCCCCCACTGACCCCCCAAACACCCTCTGCCTGCCCCTGCAGATCCCCCCACTACAGCCTCCCCCAAACACCCACTGCCCACCCCTGCAGATCCCCCAGCCCCACCCACTACAGCCCCCGCAAACACCCCCTGCCCACTGTGATGAAGTGGAGATTTTCCCTTGTTATGTTGTATGTGAGTTTTACTGTTTTGCATGAATACTGTGTGTGCCTCAGTTTCCCTGTGTGCTGCACCAATACCTCGGTGGTGGGAATAGGGGTGTGTGACTTTGGCTGAGATCCTCTGGGGCAGGTGAGGCTGCTCCAGCTGCCTGCACATGTGACCCCTGCCCTTCATAACCTGAGACCAGGACGGGGATGCAACCAGGTGACTCTTTGCCAGGAAGTGAGACAAAGAGAAGGAGGAGGAGCAACTGGGGTCTCTGAGGTCAGGTCTCTGGAAGCTGGTAGTCTGCTTGGGGGGACTGGAAGAGAGGGAGTCTAGGGCTTCTGGCCCAAGACTCCCCAAGACTCCCTTGGCTGAAAGTCACTGATTTCTCTGCTAACAAGTTCTGTGTTCCTGTTGACAAATAAACCTTCTGTTTTACTGGCTGGCTGAGAGTCACGTCTGACTGCGGAGTTGGGGTACAGGGCCCTCTGGCTTCTCCAGGAGCCCCACCCAGGTGGACTCGCTGCGGGAAGCGCACGGTGTGGAAGGGGATGCTGAATGCTCCGAGGTCAGATCCAGGAAGGTCAAAGCTGTCTAAGCTTCTTGCCCTGGCGACAGTATGCTCAGAGAGAGGAGACTCCCCAGAGTCCTGGCTGGCTTCATATGGAATAGTTCCAGAGCATCGCCTGGTGACTCCGTGACACCCACCCCCGCAGATCCTCCACCCCCACCCACTACAGCCCCCTCATCAACCCCCAAACACCCTCTGACCACCCCCACAGATCCCCCAAACACCTCTCCGCCAACAGATCCTGCAAGCAAATCCCTATCCATCTCTGTGTCCAACCCCAGATCCCCTTGCCCAACCCCTGCATACACCCCAACCCTCCCCACAGATCCCCCTGCCCATCCTCCCTTCCAACACTGGCAGATTCTGACCTCACTCCTGCCGCCTACAATCCCCTGTGGATCCCCCATACTCAACCTCACCCCAATCCCATGCAGATGCCACCCCAAGAACCACTGCCCTGCCCCCGCCTGGGATCTGAGCCCATTGGACTCCCTACCCCACGCAGGTTCAGGGTCCCCCTCACCTCCACCTCCTGAAGCAGGGCAAGGCTGGGGCTCCAGTGCACGAGGCGCCGGTCCTTCCCCCCCCCACTCAGCACCGAGCCGTCGCGCCGCAGGCAGAGCGAGAAGATGCTGCCTTCGTGTGCCCGGGTCTGACGACCGATCTGGTAGGTCTCTGCAATGTGGGGTGGGGTCATTGCTGGGCCCTCTCCCCCCACTCCTCCCAGCCCAGGGGAGTCCTGCATTCCCTCCACTCCAGGGTTCCCCCCCATCCTCACCTCCCCCAGCCCAGGGGTCTGTGCAGGCCTCCCCCAGCCTAGGGGTCCCTGCCCCCCAGCCCAGGGGTCTGTGCAGGCCTCCC